TTATTTAAAATTACTTGAATTAAATATATATTTTAAAATAATAATAATTAATTTTATATTAAAAATTGTATTGAGAATTTTTTAAGTTTCATTTTCAGTTTTGTTACACTTATGCACCTTTTTGCATCAACTTATGTAGTTTTTCAATAATATATTTAGTAACAATTAATTGTTATAAAAATATTCATTTTACATACAATAAGGTTATTATGATATAAAATTTTTTTATTGCAACTTATAATATTGTTAGATAATATATTTAGCACTAACAAACATTTACGCTAAATGATGATATCCAAACTACTATTTTGTCATTAGTTTTTACCTACAATTAATAAGTGTAAAACTACAAGAAAATCCATATTTAGTGACTAAATTATTGATAATTAAATCTTTATTTTTCGTCACAAATTATTATTAGTGATAAAATTTAAACCGTTAGTAAAACTCTTGTCACTAATACTCTTAGTGACAAATTAGGTACTTATCACAGAAAATAATCTTATAGTGATAGAAAAAATTGACATTGTTAACAAGTTATTTATAACAATTTTATTTGTCACAAAAAAAATATTTGTCACAAATGCAATTGTGATGAAAAATTTAGTCATTCATTATTAAAATTGATATTAAATTAAAAAAAGGTATTTATATAATTACAATACAAATATTTTAACAAAAATTTTGTCACAAAAAAATAATATATAAATTTATGACAAAAGTTTAATAAAAAAATATTATTATTTCAATACTAATCAATTTTGATTAAAATTAATTAAGCTCGATTAAAATTAATCAGGCCCAATTAAAATTAATCAAGCCCAAACTAATCTTAAGTTTTATTGAGTTTCACATGTTTTATAGTGCAAACATTTATTTTCTTAAATATTTCTTATCGATGTAGGATATATTTATAGTATAAAACCTTACTCTCTTATGTGTTTTTTATCGATATGGGATATATTAATTAGAGAAAAATGACCGTTTTTAGTGACGAAATATATTTTTTAGTGATGAATTATTTGGTTATCATTGAATGTGTAAGGTATATATGACCAATATTAGAATTTTGTCATAATTGTAATGCATTATAGTAATGATTTTTATCAACAAAAGCTTATTTTATCTCTATGAACATTTTTCGGTGATAAAATATATTTTTTATGATAAATTTTTTTGTTCATCATTAAATATGTATGTATCTATAACTAATTTTTTAAATCTGTCATAATTGTGATCAATTATAGTGATGATTTCAAAATTCATCATAAATTTCTGTCACTAAAATTCATTTTTCTTGCAGTGTAGGTATTTTTATTTACCTACGATTTTGAAAATGTAAGTATAAGTTCTCTAAGGTTTTTATCTATGAATTTAAAAACTGTAACAATATTATTATAAACGTAGTTGGTTATTTTTAGTTACACAATATATTAACTAAGTCATCTAATGTGTAACTATAGTATTTAGGAGAGTTATAGTTATGCTTTTTAAAGATTTAATTATAGTTTTTGTGTGTAGGTAAATAACAATTATGGTGTAGTGCATTGGATCTCAACTAATTTGAAATTGAACTACATCAGATTCCATAAGAGACAAGCTTTCTTAACTTTTATAGGCTTTCTCAATGCTTATTTTTTCATTTATAAGCTCGAACTCAAAACTTTATTCAAGAAGAATCGAGTTTTTTCTATTCAAACCAACAAGTCTAGTGAGATTAATGTGTATTAGCTTGGCAAAAAAAACTCAAAAAATCAAGGTTTTGTTTGGAAATGCTTTTTGGTTATTTTAGCTTTTGTTTTTGTTTTTTGGTCTTTTTATTATTGTAAAAGTATATAAAATACTAATTAAAATATATATTACATATGTTAAATATACATTATATATTTTTACAATATTAAAAGATTAAAAAACCCACAATTACA